CCTCCTATCGCTGCACTTAGGTGGAAGAAAAGGGAGGAAAATTTCACAAGGATTTCCCAAACAATTTCAAGTATGTTTTTTAGCCATAAACAATAGATTTTAAAAGGAATGGGTTGTGGTTTTTACGCAGGTTCTTTATTTTAGTCAAGAAGAAAAAATTACACACATTTTTTTAATTTTTGGTCAGGTAGATATAAAATATTGCAGACTAATATTTTCTATTTTTTAATCAGTAGGCAGCCATTTGTTATTATTATACAGGATTTATATAGCGCCAACAGTTTGCTCAGTGCTTTACAATATAACGGGAGACAATACAGCAACATTACACTTCAATACAAGAGGGATAGGAGGGCCTGATCCTGGGAGCTTACAATCTAAGAGGGAGTGGCTAGTGGTACAAAAGGTAGTAACTGTGGGGGATGGACAGGTAGGAGGAATAGAAGATTCCAGTATTAGCTGAGGGCAGGATAGGCTTCCCTGAAGAGATAGGTTTTCAGAGATCGCCTAATCGTGAGCAGAGTAGGCGAAAGTCTTATAAATTGGGTTAGAGAGTTCCAGAGGATGGGGGAAGCTCTGGAGTAGTCCTCGAGACGATCATGGGAGGAGGAGATAAGGAGCTAGAGCGCAGGAGGTCATGCGAGGAGCAGAGAGGACGGTTTGGGTGATATTTAGAGACAAGATTGGTGATGTAATTTGGGGCAGAGTTATAAATGGCTTTATATGTTATTGTTAATGTTTTTAATTTTATCCGTTGGGCAATAGGAAGCCAGTGGAGGGATTGGCAGAGAGGGGTGGAGGACACTGAGTGGAGGCCAGTGGAGGGATTGGCAGAGAGGGGTGGAGGACACTGAGTAGAGGCCAGTGAGAGATTGGCAGAGAGGGGTGGAGGATTGGGAGGCCAGTGGAGGGATTGGCAGAGAGGGGTGGAGGACACTGAGTGGAGGCCAGTGGAGGGATTGGCAGAGAGGGGTGGAGGACACTGAGTGGAGGCCAGTGGAGGGATTGGCAGAGAGGGGTGGCAGATACAGAACGGTTAGTAAGGTGCATGAGTCTGGCAGCAGCATTCATGATAGAATGAAGAGGGGATAGCCTGCGATGAGGTCGGCCAATGAGGAGGGAGTTACAATAGTCAAGGCGAGATATAACCAGGGAGTGAATAAGTTGCTTAGTAGTTTCTGAGGTTAAGAACGGGCATATCTTGGAGATGTTGCGGAGGTGAAGTCTACAAGATTTGGACAGTGATTGGATTTGGGGCTGAAAGGACAGATGGGAGTCCAGGATTACACCAAGTTCCCTGGCATGAGGGGAGGGACTGATGGTTGCATTATTGGTCTTGATGGAGAAGTCAGGGGACAAGGGCACGGGCTGGAGGGAATACTAAGAGCTCAGTTTCCTCCTCCTCCTTTTCTCATTTCTTCCAGACACACTTTGACACTCCCTAGCACTGAAGTGGCTTATGTAAGCTACGAAACGTCTTCAACATTACAGAACAATTCCAGTTATATGTGACCAACTAATACTAGATACATTATATATTACCATGAGATGGATACATGAGAACCTTCACAAACAAGTCTTCTGGAGATTTCCTAGCTGTCCCTTGTAATAATCTTGTTTACTGAGTTCTGTAGCTAAAGCTTTTAAATTCCCCTGCTGTGTGCCCCCTGCCATGTGCCTGCCTTCCAATGTGCCCTCTACCCTCCCCACCCAGTGCTGCCCGCTTCTCTCTGCTCCCACCGGCTGCTGCAGGGCATAGGGGATATTCAGATGGAGAGCAGAGTTAGGGGGTGGGGGGCGTTAATTATATCATACTTACCAGTGACTTCCTTTCTTTTATGAGCACAAGTGATCTGACCCAATCACCCACTGTGTTTATTCATAACTAAAGCATAGTAAACTATGTTACTATGCTTCAGTTTGTGAATGAATAGGAAGCTTCAGAGTGCTTCCTATTCATTCATCTCCAGTGCAGCTGAGACTTCAGAGAAATAGATAGAGGAATCTATATCTCCATTCCCTTTCTCTGTCCCAAACGTGAGACATCGGGGACTCACCAAAGACCCCCCTCCCTAACAGTGCTATGGGGAAAAAAATGTAAAAATGCTAAAAAAAAAATAAATAAATGTATTTTTAATTGTCAGTGTACACAGGGGGACAGTGTGTATAGTGGGGTAAATTATATGTAGCATAATTTAGCCGAACCCACTTTTTACAGTGGTGGATGCCCCAGGGCATTACTTTGCCCAGGGGCCCATAGTGCTATTATATGCACTGCCCAGCAGAGCCCCCCCCCCCCCCCCCCCAACGTACACCCAGGAGTGCCCAGCAGAGTCTCCACTTACTTATCAGGCAGCAGAGCAGGTTGGACGAGTCAGCTTATAACTTTTGTGCTCTCTCATCTAAGGACAGGTAGGCTGCAATACTATCATTTCTTGTTCTTGCATTTAGACACGCTTTAACTGTAGCAGTGAAAATTGTGTATCCTGCCCTCCTAGACTGAGCTGTGTTGTGTGGCAGAGCTATGCAAATCTCAGGACTGGTTGGACAAAAATACATACAATGGTTATAGAAAAGAATCACCCCCCTTTAAAATAATCACATTTTGTTGCTTTGCAATCTGAAATGAAGACAGACACAGTTTTTGTTTTATCCAGCTGTATTTATAGTGCAACTTATAACATCCAAGTGAAAGATATAACACCAACATGTCAGAATTTTTTTTTTTAAAAGTTCAAAAACAGAATAGCTGAGTTGGAAAAAGGATCCCACTTGTGTCAGTATTTTGTTGAACCCCCTTTTGCTTTAATTCCAACCTTTAGTCTGTTGGGATGTCTCTACTAACTTTGCACATCTAGACTTTGCAATATTTGCTCTTCTTTTCAGAACTGATCAAGTTCAGTTAAATTTGATGGTGACTGTTTGTGGACTACAGTCTTCAAGTCATTCCACAGATTTTCAATGGGGCTGAAGTCTGGGCTCTGACTAGGCCATGCAAGGACATTCACCTTTTTCTCCCCCAACCACTGTGTGCTCATTTTGCTGTGTGCTTTGGGTAATTGTCATGTTGGAAGGTAAACCTTCTTCCCACTGACAACTTTCTGGAGTGCAGAAGATTTATCTTAAGAATATCACGGTATTTTGCCCCATCCACTTTTTCCTTCTATACTGACAAGTGCTCCAGTCCCTGCTGTAGAGAAACCCCAATAACAGGAGATTACCACCTCCATGCTTTACTGTATGAATTATGTTATTTGTGTACCACCCTCCTAGTTTAGCTAGGGGGAGCTAGATTCCAATGGTTAGACAGGAGTTGAGCAGCATTCCAGATGTAATAGCCAGAGATGGGTCAAATTGTGGTCAGGGCTGAGAGGCTCTGCAGGCCAGCCCCTCTGGAATTTCCCCCTGCTCTAGGGCTTTTGAGGAAGGCCTTAGAGGCACTGGGTGGATCTGAGAAGTGGTTGGCTGCACTCTTGAGGAGTCCTAGCCAAACCACAACAAGAGGTTGGCAAGGGGCCAGACACCCTTAAAAAGTATTTGAGCCTGCTCAGTGGCAAGAGTGAGGGAGAGGTGTCGGGTGGAAGAAGGAGAAAGAAAGATGTGAGTCTGTGTGGAAGGAGGCTGCCAGGAGGCCTAGTGGGAGAGTGCCTGCCTGTGAGCCTGGAGCTGGAAAGGCGGAAAGTATGGAAGTCACTGGCACCCTGAGAGAGGACCACCTGTATGGCAGAGAAGGAGCAGCCCAGTTTATAGGCCTGGTAGCAGCAGCAAACCCACAAGGTACTACAGGAGAGGATCTGAGTGAGTACACCTACACTGCCTGGGTGGATAGGGGAAGGAGTACAATGGTGGGAAATCAGATTAGCCCCCTACTTGTGACTGATCACCTCTTTAAAGGGACAGGAACTGGATACCCTGCTCAGGGATACCTCCAGATTGCTGGGTGAAGAAGAGAAGTTCATCTGGGTTCTGAAAAGGTACAATAAGGAGATGCTGGCTTGCTCTCCAGCAGAGACTGTGTTGCAGAGAAGGCATGTAAATAGTTCCAGAAACCTGTCCCCAGTTCATCGGTACCCTTGGCATCCTGTACACCCTTAACCCTATCTCAGTTCAAAATCCCCAAATAAAACAAAACAAAAGTTCAAGGACTGATCTCTAACTCTGGATGCAAGTCTGTGTGAAGATGCACGATGCCTGGCTGTGCAGAACCCTAGGGGGACCCAATTCGTCACCAACTCCTAACGGGGTAGTGCTACATTTGGATGGTCAGCTGGATGGGATTTCTGCCAGACATATTGTTTAGTGTTGAGGCCAAATCATTCAGTTTTAGTCTCATCTGACCAGAACACCTTTTTCCATGTGGCCTCAGAATCTTCAAGGTGCATTTTGGCAAAGCTCAGTCGTGACTGCATGTGACCTTTCTTGAGGAGTCGCTTTTTTTTGCAGCCCTCCCCATATATAGCCCAGGTTTCCTCTTGCTTCACCCTGCAGTTAGGCACCAGATATTTATCATAGCCAGATAGACACACTCTTTTGCTCAATGTCTTCAATGAACAGTCTAGGGGATAATTGTTTTTGGAGTTTTATTGTAGAACTGGGGATAGGGATGGGGAATTCAGTAGCATATTCCAAAATTAGAACTATTCACACTGAGGACATTTAGCTGATCTCTTAGTTGAGCACTTTTGAAGTCCTGGTTAAAAGCAGATAGCAGACTTCTCTTTAAATTGTAGCATCAAGTAGTTTAGGAGTGAGCAAAGTCCCTTTTTGCAGTAGTAGTAGTTACAAGGCTGAGCTCCTCAGGTACAAGCCAGTTACGACAGACTGCAACAGCCCAAAGGTAACGTAGCTGAGCAAAGTCCTTTGCAGTAGCAACAGTTGGACATGCTATTCAGAACACTAGCCAGTGTTCCCTTTTTCTTTTCAGACCCACACTGACTATCAAATACAAAAGGAGGTAGCAAGCACACAGAGTCCCCAAATTCCTCAATGTCTGTATTCACAAGATCCAAGGTCAGAATGGAAGCCTCCTTCCAGGGGCGGACTGACAACTCATGGGGCCCCCGGGCAGTAGGGGATCATGGGGCCCCTATGTCCTTGCCCAGACTCAAAAAAGCCTATAAAAAAGGTACCAGGGGCATTTCATGGGGCCCCCTACTGACCCCAGGCCCTCGGGCAGTGCCCGAGTGCTCGAATGGTCAGTCCGCCCCTGCCTCCTTCCAATCTTCCCAGCAAACCTATCCAGTGATACCAGACAGAGCTTTGGCAGACAGCTCCTCTCAGTCAGCTTTCTGTAGAACCAGGGTCACTCTCTCTAATTTCAGGCCCTCAGGTCGACCACTTGAGGCCCACATGGCAGCAAGGCGAGGCAAGCCTGACTCCAGCCCGGCTTGGTTCAATCCTCTCCTGGGAAAGATGCTGAACCCATGTGCTCACAGAACATAAGTACTACTCCCAGCATGCAATGGAGCCATCCTCCCCTGAAATCACAGCAGTCTGTTAAGCAGAGAGTCCAATTAGATTTTCCTAACAGTCTCTCTGTCAAGCAAAGAAACACAGCTATACATATCCTAGCTATACCAATCCTAGCACCTAACTAGGAGGGTGCTACACATACAACCCACATTTGTGGAGAATTTGTGATATTGTTGTCACATGCACAGAATGACCACTCTTTTCCATCAATTTCTGACATGGCTTCAGAGTTTCTGTAGGCATCTTGGTATCCTCTCTGACCAGTTTCCTCCTGGCTCTTTCATCCAGTTTGGAGCGATGTGTCCTGATCCAGGGAGGATCTGTATTGTACCAAATATCTTCCACTTCTTAATAATAGACTTCACTGTGCTTCAAGTCATTGATAAAGCCTTTGAAATGTTTTTGTATCCATCTCCTGACAAGTTTATCCCAAGATCTTCTGTCAGTGCCTTGCCACCCATAGCTGAGTGTTTCCTTCAGTTGCACTATCAGCGACTGAAATGCTCCAGGAAAGCTCTTTTCATGCTGAGCTAATCAAAATGACCACAGCTGATCACAGTGGAAAGTCAAATGGCTTTGTGTGCCATTGAGAAGGTGGTTTTTAGAAGGGGGGGGGTGATCCTTTTTCCAACTTAGTGATTCTGTGAGGTTTTTTTACATGTTGGTGTTATATCTTTCACTTGAATGTTATAAGTTGCACTGAGTAAATACAGCTGAATAAAACAAAAACTGTGTCTGTCTTCATTTCAGGCTGCAAAGCAACAAAATGTGATTATTTGAAGGTGATTCTTTTCTAAGGGATTAAGGGAGATGATTCTTTTCTATACCCACTGTATCCTTTGACAAGTGAAACAGCTCCCATTTATGCATCTCATCTGTGTATTTAACTGTTTGCATGGAGTTTTATCTTACAGCAGAGAACAGGTTCACTTTAATTGCACATTTAGGTCTAAGGGAGAAGAGAAGCATATTTACTTGCTTGATGTTCAGGACCGGAACAATGGGTGGGCAGGAGGGGCAGCTGCCCTGGGCATAGTGTAGCAAGGGGGCAGAAAAAGGACACAGGGCAGTAAAACCCATTCTACAGCATGCATTGACAGGGGGGGAGGGGATGCAGTTCTTGTCCTGGGCGCTAGATGAACCCGTCCCATTACTGCTGATGTTCTACTCCCCCTGTAGGCGGCGCTCCCCCTTGCTCCAGTGGTGGACTGTTACTCAGCAGCATCATGTCCAATGCCAAGCTATGGACCCTGCATTTGTCTTGAACCTTAGTGTGCTGGAACAAGGAGGAGAAAAAGCTGAGTGGAACCAGTCATGCAGAGTGGAGGAGTGGAGGATCGGGTACATAAATCTTCTATGTCCCCTAGACCTAAACGAGCAATTATCCCTTGCAGTGCAGACACAGCCACACTGCAAGGGTACATTTTCAAGCCAACTGGAGATGGGCTTTAATTCTTGTCGACGTTGGGCTTCATATGAGAACTCAGCCGGCACGCTCTTCTCCATCTCCGGTAACTTGTCCAAAGCTCCCCGCATCAGAGTACATAAAACACATTCAGCCCTTGTATTCATTAACTCCTTTTCCAAAGAACACTTTTGTGCTGCCTCCTGATACCGTGTGTGTTGGGCTCTCATGTTTCATATTCTTCCCATTTATTGTGACACCCACTAAATGAGCTTATCTGAATAATGCCTGTTGCAGATGAGATAGGAACAAACACCCAGTTTGGCACAATGAGACTTTTATCTTACAAGATGAATGCCAGGCCTGATTGTCAATGACTGGTTTTATGTGCGACTGTCAAGAGGCCCAGATGCTTTTGTAGAGAGGGAGTGAAGATATTTATAGAAGAGAGAGGCTGTTTATCTGTGTGCAGGAGAGAAGACAGATAAGAACAATCCAATTCTTCCCCAGAGAAGCGGGATGGGGTGAGCGTGTGTGCATGGAGACTTCGGGGTGATGAGCGTCACAATGGAGGTGTTAGGAAGAACAAAGAACTCATCCAGGAAAAGGGCCAACGTGCTTCCCGGCTCCAGTAATACTGCGTACAGGGCTGGATTTAACTGTGGAACATCAAGGATTTGTGGCAGAGGAGCTTCCAAATGCAAAATTGACAAAAATTAAAGGATGAAGTCTGTACTTTTTATTGGTAGGGATAAGCACATCGATTGGCCAGCCTCTGAGCTCCCTAAAATGCATTTTCTTCTTTTGCAGCCAAATTGGATAACACCTACTTTATATTTATTACATGTTCCCAATCACATACAATGACTTTAAAGAAGAATTCCAGGTGTGGATATATAGTGTGCAGGACACCAATGATGGGTCCTGGACTGAAGATATATTTCCCCATTGATTGGATTATGGTTCTTTTAAGGGAGAGTTCAAGATGTTTTGGAGTAATCAGGGGCTCTCACCCATGAGGGGTTCTGGGTTATTCCAATTAGAAAGAAAAGGACTGATTTGCAGTCCTCTCTGGATTGGCAAAAACCTGATTTGGGACCTGGAATAAAGAGGCTCAGAGAGACTTTGGGTGGGAAGAGCCTCCAAACCTGATTACAACCCGCACACCTGGTCTAAATACCACCCAAAATATTACTTCTGAATACAGATGTGAAAATCCTTGCCAAAAAATTAGCCACCAGGCTAAATTCATTTTTAGGGAAACTTGTACATAAGAACCAGGTACGTTTTGTTCCATCACGGGGTGCAGGGGACAACATTCGCAGAGCTATCCAGCTCTTCGAACTTGCTAAGATCCATTCCAGCCATACTACTGTCACTCAACATCCTTAAGGCCTTTAACCATTTCATGGGACTATATGTTTTATGCTCCCCGACAGGGGGGCTTCAGCAAGGCATTCCTGACTTGGGTCTCTGCTCTCTACACTCAATCTTCTGAAATGCACAAACTTCACTTCTGACCTGTTCCCAGTCTGACGAGGTACATGGCAAGGGTGCCCCCATCCTATTTATTCTAGCCTTAGAGCCTTTGATGTACATGTATCAGGAATGGACTTGACAATAATGGTGGGACTCACCTGCCTTGTGGGCTGCAGTACCAGGGCTGGCCAGCGGGTGCTCTCAGCAATCAGAGACTCACCCCTGCAGTCAGCCAAACACCTGAAGCTGATTGCAAGGGTTGTATTTAAGGAATGGCCAGACTCACAGTCAGGGCCTTGGTGTGTGTTTTTTTCCATGGGTCCCTGTATCTTGCATCCTGTGTTCCTGTTCCTGCCTGACTTGTTCCCGACCCTGCCTGATCCTGACCTCTGCTGACTTCTCCTGTTTGATCCCTGGCTTGTGACCCTGACCATTCTCTGCCTGACCCTCTGCACCGCGCTGCCCGTGAGTTACTGAACCCAGCTTGTGACCCCGACCACTCTCCCGCCTGTTCCTGGTTCTCCGTTTGCCCTTTTGCTACTGACCCGGCCTGCCTGACGACTCTTGCATTGTATGTATTGTTATCTGTAGGTGGGTTTGGTTTGTTTGCACTGTGTTTATGTTTAGTTTTGCACTGCGTTTTGTATTGTTAGTCTTAATAAATCATATTGTTTATACCATATCTGAAGCCTGCGTTTCCCTGTGTCAGTCCACACACCTCTGGTCATACCCGGAGCCCTGACACCATGGCCTAGAACTTGCCAGAGAACACCACAAATTGATGCATTTTGCTTATGACATTCTACTGTTTCTCTCCTGACCTCTTGCCTTATACCCAAGCTCTCTGACCCTTCATTGTTGCACACCCTGTGCCAATGGGATTCTGTCATTCTGACAGTGGCAATCTGCTTTCCCCCCACTTACCCCTTTAGGATATCTTTGGCACCTCCCACTTCCCCCCAGCCTATGATAACCCTGGTGCCTTTTGTTGGTTGCACGGTAGAGGGATCAAACATATCTATGATTTTCTTGCTCTGGATGGCATCAAATCCTTCCAGTTCCAACAGCAACATTGACAACAATGTGCCAAGGCTTTTTGTTATGCCCCCAATAAGTCACTTGTTTGCAGCCTCCTCAGAAGTCACACAGGGCCCCCTAAATGTGTAACGGTGTTTGAAAACTGATGCCGCAAGGATCCACACCTAAAAGGACTGGTCTCCAACCTTCATTCCTCCCCTGTTTACTCATCCACTCCCCTGTGTTGAAAAATGGGAAAAGGATCTTCTTGTCCACCCGACCAAGGCATATGGAACAAGATTTATCTCTATTTCTAAATGATCTGCCAACATTTTAGCCCAAGAAAATGCCTACAAAGTGCTTTCATGCTGGTACATGATCCCTGATTGTATTTCAAAATTTGCACTTGCTGCTTTCCCAATGTGCTTTTGGGGCTGTAGAGAACACAGCACTCTTCTCCATATCTGTTGGTCATGCCCCAAGGAGACCCGATCCTGGACACGGGTGTACACCATGTTCAGGTCTGTCTTGAACATTTCCCTAGCCTGTAATCCCTGAGAGGTTTGGGATCCCTGGATATCCTATAATGCAGTATTGACTGAACTTTTCTCTTAGTTTGAAGCCATTCTGCGTTGGCCTTCAGCATTTTGGCTG